AACCATTTTCTGATTACTAGAGCCCCAACAAATTACCCCCCCTGTTACACTTTTTTCAACTTTAATTTCAATATTCAATACCACAAACAAAAAAAAACAAAACAAAAATTCAAAATTTACAATCTCCCCACAAAACACCCCACAACAACAACAACAACAAAACAACCTCCCCCCCCCCCCTAAAACAAAATAAATCCCCATAGAAAAGAAAAAAAATGTTGACCGACCAGAACTGAAACGGGAAAAGAAGAAAGAAAGAAAGGAAAAAAATTGCTTCCCCCCCACCCCCCCCTCCCCCCCAGAAAACCCCCCCAAAACCAAACCCAACCAAGAAAACAAATGAAAAAAAGAACATTAAAAACAGAGACAAGGCACTTTTCCATAACATCAGGTATAATACATTCAAAGATCAGAAGGCTGCATATAGACACCATTTAATCATTTCATGTTCTTTCGAAGAAAGCCAAATTTATATAGACCAACAAATCCTCATCCACAGACGCAGTGGTACAGAAAGAACAGATGTGGGGAATGGGGTTGCGCGGTGCCATGAATCATTGAAGCAAAACAGGATGGCAGGGTGTTATGAGCATATATGGGGAAATCTCTCTCTCTCTCTCTCTCTCTCTCTCTCTCTCTCTCTCTCTCTCTCTCTCTCTCTCTCTCTGTCTGTCTGTCTCTCTCTGTGTTGTTCTCCTTCTTCTTCTTCTTCTTCTTGGTCATATGAGCGCCAAGGGGTGGGTGTCAACAGAGAAGTCTTTACAGGGAATCAGACTTACTCTGCTCACCCCTCCAGCTTCAACAGCACAAAGTCTGCTTCGACTATCAAGGCACCCCGGAAATAGCAGGTCACAGAAGTGTGACAAACATACAAAAGAAGTAGAGGAAAATGACAATAGCAAGGATACGGAAAGAAAAAGCAGCAGTTCCCTGTTGTAGATCAGGCACATTTATGAGCGTGGCATGATGAATCAGCCCATTTACAATTCTACAGTGTATGAACGAGAAATGTCCCCCTTTTGGGAATGGCCTAAAGACACTACAGTCAGTGACACTGCCCCGGGGGGTGTCTCTCTCTTTCTTCACAGATCTGTCTTTCTATCTACCTATCCAACTCTTTTATAATTTTTCTCTGTCTCTCGCTTTAGGTTTCTCTATCTCACTCTCTCTTTTCTGTCTGTCTCCCTCGCTCTTTGTCTATCTTTCTGTCTCCCTCTGTGTCTTACTCTCTCTCTCTCTCTCTCTCTCTCTCTCTCTCTCTCTCTCTCTCTCTCTCTCTCTCTCTCTCTCTCTCTCTCTCTCCCTCTTGTTCTCTCTCT